CCCCCTCCCACCACCAAAAAAGCCCCCTTACATAAGTCAAAGAGACGACAAAAAATGAAACAATATCTTCAATTACAAATAATAATAATATGATCAATACATGATGATAAGAATTTGACCTCATAAACTATGTACATGTATTTGGTTAAAGTGAGAGGAAACTACGTCTGTTATAACTACCAACCACGGTACAGATGGCTGAGAGAAAAAAACAAAAAAACACACACAGTATGTCGTTAAAGGGTCGCCAGTCAGCTGTTCAAATGTATTGAGCCCAAAATAAACAAAATAAACGGTGGTTCAGAATCATTTAAAGGGTGCACTGTAGTTTAATTTTCAGTTTTTCATTAGTTTCGTTTAGATCTTGTCTTGGGAAAGTCCGTCTTCGATTAAGACGCAATTGTAAACAAGTGAGGCTTGCGTGCACAGATCCCACATACAGTGATTTGACGATCGATTCTTTCGAGTCCGTGCACAGATCCCACATACAGTGATTTGACGATCGATTCTTTCGAGTCCGTTCACCGATCGGGAAACCCAGCTCGTTGGTTATAGCCTTTGTGCTCAAAAAACAGTTTGTCGAAATTCAAATTCTAATTGCTTAATGAAAAGAGGGAAGAAAAAATATTAATGTCGGTACAATTAATCGTGACTTTACAATTCATTGTACCGAACGAAACCGTTTTCATTTTCTCTCCTACGAAATGTTGCTTTCTGAACTCGGTACATACTTTTGAACAGCTAGCGGGCGATACACATGATACATCAGTAAGTACACAGTATACTAATGTTAGAGTGCCACATCTGACAGCAGCTTCCATCTGTACGTCATGCTACAAGTGAGCACTGGCTCAGAGTGGGAGAAGTTGCAGGGGAAATAATGTCTTTTCATATTCATTTCTCTCTCTCTCTTTCTCTCTCTCTCTCTTCCTTTTTTATCTTTCTTTCTTTCTCTCTTTTTTCTTTCTTGTTTTTTCTTTCTCTCTGTTTTTCTTTCTTGTTCTCTCTCTCTCTCTCTCTCTCTCTCTCTCTCTCTCTCTCTCTCTCTCTCTCTCTCTCTCTCTCTCTCTCTCTCTCTCTCCACGTCTCATACAGAAAAACAGACACATACATACAGAAATACAAGTGTACACCTTTCCTTTCAAACTCTAACATAATCCAGGCAAAAGTGTCAGTATAACAAATAATTTTACACGTACAAGTATATATTACAAATAATTACATACATCTTTCGTTTCAGTAACAATTTTGCCAGGATACTATTATGATGCCTCTCGAATACACGCAAAACAAAACAAAACAAAAACCCCAATTTTTGTTCTTCAAAGAAACAAAGCGTTCAATCAATAAAGAAGGTATTTTCAGTCAGGTCTTAAGGTCGCAAAGTTCAGCCTCAGAAAGAGCGAAGTTCAAGAGCTCAGAGAATATTTGTACTATACTTTATGAGGATAAAGATTTGAATAAAAGAAACCCCAAAAACAACCATCCCCCCCCCCTCATCCTCTTTGCTTTCTCTGAGAATTGATACGATAGACAGCCGCAGTACGTGGAAAAGGGCGACGCTTTCAAACTAGAAAGCAACTCACGCAGTCCAAATAAAAACACAAAAAACCAAGATTTTGGCTTATTATAACTTCCATTGTCTCTCAGCTTAGATTAAATTTTTGCTCAGAAAGGCAGAGGGGAAAAAATGACTGCACCTTGAGAAGCACAACAGAGAAAAACTGAATGAAGCCAAAGCTCGAATTAA